GCCTTACTTTTCTGACTCCTCTTTTTGTTGTGTGGAGAAGACAGCTCACCTCTTCTTTTGATGTTTCTGAGTCGAGTTGTAGTGTGAGATACATAATGATATGAGGAGTGTTTAGGATATTCTGCTGGATACCTTCAACCTCTTCTCCCCATAGAAGTTTGACTAAATCACTCGTGTTTGACTGTGCCTTTTTCTGTCTTGGTTGACTTGTCTCCTTTTTCACAGCATATGCATTTTCAAATGTCAGTTTTACCTTTGAAAATTAAGATAATGTGTTACTTTTTCAACAAAGGAAAATCACCTGCAATTTTCACAAAGAAGGATGTGTGCATGAGCATACACTCAAGCATGTACAGTATGTTTAAATAATCCTAGAACAAGGGTTCCTGATGGTGGGGGCTGTGTATTCTTTTTATATTTGTATCTCTAGCTCCTAGCAGAGTGCCTGCACGTATCACTACAAATATTTATTAAGCATGTATAATGCACTGCAATTCTTTTACATATTATTAACATATAATCACTGTCATTCACTTATTTATTATTTATTATTTTTGAGACAGAGTCTCACTTTGTTGCCCAGGCTAGAGTGAGTGCCGTGGCGTCAGCCTAGCTCATAGCAACCTCAAACTCCTGAGCTCAAGCAATCCTCCTGCCTCAGCCTCCCAAGTAGCTGGACTACAGGCATGCCCACCATGCACAGCTAATTTTTCTATATATATTAGTTGGCCATAATTTCTTTCTATTTATAGTAGAGACAGGGTCTCACTCTTGCTCAGGCTGGTTTCAAACTCCTGACCTCGAGCAATCTGCCTGCCTCAGCCTCCCAGAGTGCTAGGATTACAGGTGTGAGCCACCGCACCCGGCCAAAATTCACTTATTTAAACTTTATCATTGCATCCTAAATTACTGACTACAAAAACAAGAAATGCCATTAAAAAAAAAAGAAATTAGTATGATCTGAGAGTATAAAGAAAGAGCAACACTACATTATAAATGCTGATAGCATTAATTCATCTGAGGAAGATAAATGGAAGAGACTCAGCATTACGAGCGACCTCACATAACCAGAGTTAGCCTTCCTTCCAACTAAGGTCATATTTAAAATATTCCTCTCTTAGACATTCTTTCTGGTTCTTTAAAACCAAGGGCAAGGGCAGTAAAAAACTATCAACATTCTGGGCTGGATCTTGGATCATGGCTCTAAGAAGATTATCTGTGAGTTTTATCAAGATAGTTTCAATTTCATGGCCTGATGCCAAAACTGGTAAGAGTCTAGAATGTGGGCCATTTTCCAGTTATTGAAAGGTAGCTTCTACTTCTCATTTACCTTTCCTTGAAAAAGGAGATATTAATCTAGATGCCAGCTGGCCAAAGATAACTCATTCATTTAGAAGAAACACTAATGTATATCTTTACTATAAGATGTTCACTAAATATAGTTAATTTTGTATAATGAGGACATCATCATAAGCTATGTAAGTACAAAGTATTCCTAATGTTTAAAATCTTATTAGAATACGTATGAGTAAAATGGACATTCTAATGTAATAATCCATAAAATTTTAAATTTAGACATTAAAGTCCAATGATTCTTTTAAAATAAGATTGCATTTTAAAAGTTAAAAAATAAATGTATGCTTGATCATGAATGAAGAAATATAGCCAATATTTAAAAGTAGACAAAATTGTTTGTATGTAGTAAGTTACATTTTGGCAGAAAATATTTTAAAATTATCAAGACCAATAATAAACAATCCCTACTTTTAATAATTTATTACAAGAGGTATCATTTTCAAGGCCAACTTTAAATATATGATAAATACTAACACATTACAGTCAGTCTTTTTAAAAACGAGCTTTACATATTCATATTAATATATTTTCATAAAAAATGTTAAGCAATTAAAAAAAGATCACCCATAGCCCCACCTGCCCATCCAACTGCCGTTAGTATTTCACTGTAAAATAAATCTGTCTTGATAACTAAAATCTTCAAAAAGAAAAAAATCTAGATATTCCTTTTTTGTTGGCAAAGAGTAACTGTGGTTGTACTCAATTTTGCTTATCTGTAGCTGACTGAGGCATGTCAGGGGCATAAGTTAGTTTTGTCTACCTACTGTGAATTAAGTTAAATGCACATCTTACTAGTCTTAAATTTTATTTTATAAAGCAGTAAAAAGAAAAGAGACATGGGGTCTTAATTCATATATATATATATATATATATTAAGATAAAGATGAAGTAGGTCAAGACTAGGAGTAATCTGTATGGAGAACAGACTTTGGAAGAAGTTCTTCATGAAATTTTTCTGAGGCCTGATGATCATGTCACTTTATAAAACACTTAATATAATTTCAAATGAAAAAGATAAATGTTTTCTGAATTTTTTATGTTTTCTGGAAACCTGATGTTGAAAAATGGGCCCTTGGTTATTAAACCAATATACCAAAAAGGGCTGAGCATAAAATTAGTATACTTTGTAGGAAAAATACTAAACAAACTAAACAAAAACATAAAAAATTAGACAACTTATATGTGAACAATCAAGGATTATCATCTGATGAAAATTAATATAAAGTTAAGGTGAGAAAGAGTTGAGAGACACTGTTTTAGAAAAGATCATCTTAGAAGGATGTGGAAAAGAATATTTGGTGTGCAGTTTTGACCCAAGTAAGCTACATATAGGCATTATGTGGCCTGAAAGACTATGTTCTGAGGGTGGCACCTGTTCCAGTGGGGATGGCTCAATATATGTATAAACAAATATAAATACAACTATAAATATAAACATAAGCATAAATATATAATCCTTGAATGGGGTCTGATGAATGGCTTGGTGGTCAGAGGGGCTTTTATCTGAGAATGAGGATTTAGGAGTGTCTAAAAGAGAACACATGGAAGCCTTTGGTAGCATTTCCAAGAAATGTGTGAAATCTTTAGAATTTGGGGAACTCCTCAGTACGGACTTTGTGACAAAATAGATGGGAGCTTTGAAGATTGTCCCCTGGCACTGGGCTTTGGAGAGAAGCTAGGAGTGGCGGTGTATGAGTGGAGTAGAGAAGGAGGAATCTGATGCGGGGCGGAAGAGCATGAGATGAGTAACAGCCTAGGGAAGCAGGGGTCACAGGGACACCTTGGGTCTGTTGGAGAATCTGTAAGAGATGTGCATAACCAGTGGTGACAAGAAGGTGGGTCCTCAGAGAAAGAAATGCATCTCAGAATGGAGAGGACATCTTTTCCAGCTGGCATTCTTGTGGGTAGAGAAGTCAAAAGACAGGGTGTGACTCACCAAAAAAACAACAAAAGGAAATGGGTAGTAGACTTAAAATTATAATAATTTTACTTTACGTGGCAATGACAACCAAAAATTTAAGACTAGTTTGCTATCCTTGGTAAAAAACAACATACTTGAAAACTAACTTCTAATGTTATACTTGGCAAATAACATTACTTTTTTTCTGTGGTGCAAGGACCTTTTCCCTTCGACATGACAAAACCCAAACAAAAACACACATCACAGAACCATCCATTAAAATTCTTTAAAGAGTTATTTTAGCCGCCATTCTTCAGATTTAAGTAAAGTTGGCTCCGTAACACAAAGATAATTATAATTTAGAAAGACATTTTTAAAAGCTTATATGTTAAATAGCCATGAATGTCAGGAAATCTGGTTGCCTTGATAAAATCATAAAGGGTAAGACAGATAATCAAATTAAGAGTTAAGTGCTTTTTTTAAAAAAAATAAGACAGGGTCTCACCACTCCGTCACGTAGGCTAGAGTGCAATGGCCCTACCATAGTTTGCCACAGCCTCAAATTGCTGGGTTAAGTGATCCTCCTGCCTCTGCCTCCCCAGGAGGTAGGACTACAGGTATGCACCGCCATATCCAGCAAATTAAAAAAAAATTTTTTTGTAGAGATGGGGTCTCGCTATGTTACCCAGGCTGGTCTTGAACTCTTGGCCTCAAGCAAACCTCCCGCCTTGGCCTCCCAAAGTGCTAGGACTATAGGCATGAGCCACAGTGCCTAGCCAGAGTTAAGTGCTTTCTTAAAAGGGGGTTAATATATATAAATATTAAGGCTGTTATGTGTTTATAGGAAAAAAACTTTTATTAAGTAATATCTAATGTTAAGTTAGATATAAAATTAGCTTCTTATAAAGAGTTTTCTATTGTTACTCCATAGACTTTAACCTGTGACGAGGTTCATGATCCCTCATCTCCCACCTCTCTGTTACTTGTTCAACTCGGCCAGACTGTCCTCCTTCCCTCCCAGTTCAGGAGACAACATGCCTTTCCTCAGGTCCACGGACATGCTCTCTGTAACTCATCACTTCCAAAATCTTGTTGTTTTCATTATCCCCTGTTTCTACTTCAATGTTCAACTCATCCTATTTAAGAAGCAGTATCTCTTTAGCCTCTCCCAAACAAATCCTCTCTCTTCCCTTTAGCTACCGTTCTCTTCCCAGCCCTGGGAAATCTGTCAGAATCTGAAGCAGGTACAGAAGCTGATCAGCCTCTCACCTTTGCCCGGAGTCTGCACTGTCTCTCTCACATCTGCGCTGATCTCTGCATGTCTCATCCTTTCCCTTTCGATAACAACTGGCAAAATTCCTCAGTCAAAACTCTTAAGGCATTGAGTCTGATTGGCTCAGCATATTATCTGTTTTCCATTCTTGTTCTTGGGCAAACTCACTAAGTTACTCAAGACAAAGCCCAGAAGGCTTCTTGGACTTCTCTCTCTCCTACAGGAAGTAGTATTCTCCTCAACTTCCTCTATATCTTAAATCTAATCTACTCCTCCTCCTGCATTCCCACAGTCAGCCCCTTTGCTTAGGCCTTTATCACCTCTTGTCTGGACTACTGCAAATCTGACTTCCTAGTCTCCAGAACTCAAGTCTTGCATATGCCTCCCCCCCATCCAGAGTGATAAATCCTAAAATACAAATCTGATCGAGTCAATCTTCCACTTTAAAACATTGACATTGATGGTTATTCTGAGTTCTGAGAATAGAGAAGATTTAGAAAATTTTTAAAAATTTACTAGTCTATTTCTAATTTTCCCACAGTATATATGAGTATCACTTTTGTGTAACAAGCAAATAATAAATGTTAAAACATTCTACTAAAGTATCATCTCTTTTAAGAAGTCTTTGCCCCTTCCTTTAGGCCTAAGAAGTACCTGAGAGGTAAGAGTCCAAGCATGCTGTTCTCCTGGAAAAGGAGTTGGGTTCCTCCAAAGCTACAGGAAAACCAGCCACGGCCCAGTGCTGAATGAAATCAATCCTGGTCAACCGCAAATTTTGGACCCCAGCTCTCTGATCAAGCCAGGGGAGGGGATGATGTACTATGTGCATGATTATGTATTCATTGAATAAATGAGTATACAGAACTACAGCAACAGATCAAGGTCACAAGTCAGTAATTAGAAGGGCACATGCACCTTTGTTCTTGTCATTTTAAATTTCTAAAACTTCTTTGTTTGAATCAACAACTATTTATTTTAAAATTTTCAAACCTATAGAAAAGTTGCAAGCAGAGTATAATGATTACCCATATATCCCTCACCCAACTGCACCACTGATAACATTTTATCACATTTGCTTCATTTCATCTCTTCTCTCCTGTCTTCCTTCCCTCTCCTATCCTCCTCCTTTCTACATATTTTTAAAATGTTTTGGCAGAACCATTTATAAATTATTTGCAGATATTTTAATACTTCACCCCTAAGGACTTCAGCATGTATCTCCTAAGGATAAGAGCTGGAGTCCCCAATCCCTGGGCCTCAGTTGGTACCACTCCATGGCCTGTTAGGAACTGGCCATGCATGACCACCTGAGCTCTGCCTCCCACTCCTACTCCCAATTTGTGGAAAAATTGTCTTCTGTGAAATTTAGGAACCCAGCTGCATAGCAGGAGGTGAGTGATGGACAGCAAGCAAAGCTTCACCTGTATGTACAGCCACTGGCCATCACTGGCCATCACATCACCACCTAAGCTCCACCTCCACCCCCACCCCCGTCCCCACTCACCACTCTGTCTATGGAAAAATTGTCTTCCAGGAAACCGGTCCCTGGTGCCAAAAAGGTTGGGGACTGCTAGATAAGGGCATCCTCCTACACAACCAGAATGTTATTTATCACACTTAGGAATTTTAACATTAAATCCAATGCCATTATCTAATAAAGTCCAAGTCCAAATTTCCCCAATTGTTCCAATACAGCTATTACACTGCAATCCACCAACAATCAGGGATTATCTACTGTATTTAGTTGTATGTCACTTAATCTGCCTTAATCTAGAATAATTCCATAGCCCTTTTTCGTCTTTCATAATACTAACATTTTTGATGAATGGACAACCATTTTAGAAAATATTAAAATTGGCTTTAAAAGAAATGGTTTGGGCTTTTTGTACCTCATTAAGTATACAAGATTTGCCTCGGGAGATCATTTTGGTATTCAGAATCTATTTATAACAGAAATTACCTGAAACGCAAATATAGAATTATGGAGTTGGAATTGGGCTCTGAGATGACTATCTCAAATCCCTCCTTATTATAAATGAGGAAACTGAAACCCAGCAGAATTTGGAAGGTAGCTTGGAGCGAAGCTTTAAATTGAGATCTGACCTCTTTCTCCTCAGTGTCCTTTCTACCACATAACACTATTTCCTAAGCCATCTTCTGTTCAATGACAAGAGGCTTTCAGATCACTTTTATGCTCTGAGTATATTTTTCAAATGTTACTGTTAGATATTTCCAAATTTAAATGTTAAAAAGTCTCCTATGGCATTCTTTGTAAATCAGTATTCTTCTCTTTTTTACTTCTTGAATAACTGTTTCAAATGCTACATATACAAACCAAGAAAAACAACTTTTTCTGGGACAGGTCTGGCTCATCAGTCCTGGCCTATCAAGAATAAGGGGATACAGACACCAAGATCCACACAGGTTGTGTCTGAAATGGAAGGATCGTGCTCTGGAGTCGGTTTGAGTTCCAGTTACTTGAGTTATTAATTCTGAAACCTTGGGAAATCATTAAATCTCTCCTAGATTTTTTTTCTTCATATATAAAACAGAATTACTAATCATTAGAATCTTATAGGTTTTTGTGAAAAAGAAGTGAAGTTATAAAAGGAATGATAAAAGCAAAGCACCCAACATACTGCCCTCAACACAGGAATACCAGTTCCCTCCCCAGACCTACTCCTGCCTCCCTGAACTCCCAGATTACATGGTCTTGGGGAAATGGTGGTAATAAAAAGCTTATAGTTTACTTCCTCTTTAAACACTAACAAAGTAAGAAAAATGTGTTTTGCTATTAAATATGGTTTCTAGGTAAAGGAATTTAACCATGTTTTATGTAATTACTAAAGATACATTGCCTTAAATGTGTATTGCTTGCTTTTAGGAAAGACATGGCCATAATACCAATTCTGATAATAAAACAAACAAATAAATAAACAAATGCATGCATGCATGTTTATACTTGGGGAGGGTGGGAGGAACTAGGATGAAATATACCAAAATGTTAATAGTAGATATCTTCTGGTAATAGGAGTCTAAGAGATTTTGTCCTATACATTTTGTATTTTCCAAAATTTCTACAATGAACATGTATAACTTTCTTTTCCTTTCTTTTTTTTTTTTTTTTTTCTTTGAGATAGACTCTTGCTCTGTTGCCTTGGGTAGAGTGCAGTGGCGTCGTCGTACCTCACTGCAACCTCAAACTTCTGGGCTCAAGCAATGCTCTTGCCTCAGCCTCCCGAGTAGCTGGAACCACAGGCACTTGTCATTGTCCTCAGCTAATTTTTCTATTTTTAGTAGAGATGGGGTCTCACTCTTGTTCAGGCTGGTCTCTAACCCCTGACTTCAAGTGATCCTCTCATCTTGGCCTCAAGCATGAGCCACTCTGCCTGGCCTATTACTTTCATAATAAAAAAGCAATTACATTTATTTTCTAAAATAATAAAAACAATTTAATAATATACACTTACATGAAGGGATTATATTCTAAAGTGCATATTGTCAAAATTCCCTTGAAATTACATAAGGAAGGCAATGCCATGTTGGAGTACAACATACTCTCTCAATATGATAAATCTAACTCACACACTTATTCTTCCATCTTCAAAACAAACTTCTATTTCTTCACTCTGGCACCAGATGTAAGTATTGGCACTTAAGAGCCATGCTGTATTAAAAAAATATGTATCTTTAAACTCAGAACCACATTTAATGCAGCAAGATGCTCATGCTGCTAAGGCAAACTAGGCAAACAGCAGATACATGACTCCTATTGCATGTTTAGTGAGGATGTGTTAATTGTGGGTGGAATTGGTTCAAAATATTTAAATCATTCCCTTCTCTCCTTTCTTCTGCCAAGTGTGAATAGATGAATTTGCAAATGTTAATTAAATATAAGTATAATGTGACTCCACTGTATACATAACTTTTCTTTTTTTAGAGACAGAAGAGATATGGTTGAACTCCGGCAATATTGGCAGGAACATCTGTAATTGACACAGGCCAGAAAAGGGGAGCCTTCACTCAGGGCTGATATGCAGCCACTGTATTTGGGAGAAGCTGGCTCAATTGTTAAAATATTGCAATTCTTCATTGACTGACAAGTAGCTGCTGTCTTAGCCCCTGAGGTACCCTAATACTCACCCTAGGACCTCCTTTCACCTAGTGACTAAAGAAGACAATAGCATTCCCTGCTCTAACACTATGGCTGGCTGGTGCCCACCTGATTAATATTTTGAAGACCACTCCATCTACATCTCTCTATCTATACCTAGGCATTGTGTTCTTGGCTACTATAGTTATTCCTGCACTTTCATTTTCCATTTCCAAAGATAACTAAAGTTATAGAGCATACGTGCATGTGCACATGTTCATGTGCATACATGTGGGTGTTTTAGAGAAAAAAGTAGGTATAAAGAAAATCTTATTCCCTAGAAAACAAGGAATTTCATCATTGGTCTTATTTCTGAATCTCAAATCCAGATGCAGGAAAGATTCTGATTTATTAAGGATTCTGTTCTTCATCCTGACCAATACAAAAATTACTTCATCTTCTCACTGCCTATTGGATCCTCGAACCTATCTAAATCATACCATATTCCCTATCCCCCCAAAGAACAGGCTAATTCCTGATGCTAATCAGAACAGAGTATTCATACATAAAAAGTATAGCACTTTCAAAAGACATCTAATAACCTAAAAGTGTCACCTATGATATAAAATGTCAATGTTTATGGTATCAAAATGACTTCCTATAAAACAAATTTATTTTTATCTAGAAGGATAAAAAATAATTCACTAAGCAGCTAAACAAAAGTTTAGGTGGAAGGCTTAAATAGATAACAAAAAAATCAAGAAAAAACTACATTAAAAAAACTTTATAGCAATAGTAATTTTAATAAATCAGAGAACAGAAAATTCCATGACTGTTTACAATAACTCTTCTAGGAACTAGATTGTCATCAACACATATGGCAGTTTTAATGGCAAGTTGGTAGTTATATATGTTTACACAAGATATAGTTATTTTATGTAACATCATAAAATATAGAAAAAGAATGCTTATACCTGCATAGGTCCAGGAATACAAGACAGAACTCTCTCTATGTTTTCAGAGGTCACATCAACATCATTCACAGCAACAAGAACATCACCTAAAAACAGAATAACAATAAAAGATAGTTATGTGAATATCCAAAAACTTAAGAGTTCCAGGATTGGAACATTAAAAATTATCTATTATTTCTCAAAGTACAATTAAAAATGTGGTAGAGATATTCAGGGACTTGTCTAAGGATATACAGCTCATTGGTGGCAGAGTTAATCTGCCAACTTTACTCTTTGTAATAATCTATAATACTACCCAACATTGCACCATAACTAAATACAACCTATGTATATTTAAAGAGAAAAATAATCTGCCAACTTTACTCTTTGTAATAATCTATAATACTACCCAACATTGCACCATAACTAAATACAACATGTGTATATTTAAAGAGAAAAATATTCTCATTCATGATACAACTGAGAGCATTATGTAAACCCAAAGGTCAAATGGAAATTTTGTAGCATAGATCAATATTTGCACTTAACAAAATCCAATCTAACCCACCTAGACTCACAGTAAAAATACTCAGCTGAAATTTTAATTAAATCCACGTGGTACATCATAACTCAATATGCTGTGATATTCACTGCTGTAATTGATCTGTGTTTACACACAGTTCTTTGCTTCAAAGGCCACAACCATATCAAAATACATGGCATGTTTCAGTAAAAACTCCTTTTCCATGGCTTTTAAAAAAATATGTATGTTTATCAAATTTGGTAATAAGATAGAGATCAGTGTTAGAATGAAAATTTACTTTTAGAACATAATTAAAGATAATGTCAAAATACCAATGAGCTATAGTAATAGAAATATAAACATACCAGTTATTCTTTTCACCATCCCTAAATATATCATTAGGAAATCGATCAAATAATTCATATTCATTAATTCATTCATTCAGCAAATATTCACTGAGCACCTACTGGTTGAACATCCCAAATCCAAAAATCCCAAATCCGAAATGACCCAACATCCAAAACTTTTTGAGTGCTGACCTAATGCTCAAAGGAAATGCTCAATAGAGCATTTTGGATTTTGGATTTTTGGTTTCGGGATGCTCAACTGGTAAGTATTATAGAATACGTATTCCAAAATCCAAAACAATAAAATAAAATCTGAAACACTTCTGGTCTCAAGCATTTTGGATAAGAGATATCAACTTTACATATAGAACAGTGTAATTCTCCATGAGTCTCTCATGTTTCTGTACTTATCTTGCAAGCTGAGGCACTCAGAGTCTTGTTCTAGACTATGTTTTCAAGGATGTTTGTATAGGAAACAGCCTTGGACAACAGAGAGAGTGTTTCATTCCTGAGCAAAGGTCAAGTTTGTTTACTGTATGGTATAATAAAGTAAGTGTATTGTTCAACAGTTTACTATTAGTAACTGTTCTTTATAAAAGTTTGGTGTTCCCTAAGCTCAGAGTTCCTCTTTTTTAATGCAATCCCCTATTGAGCATCACCTGGCCCTCTTTAGGGTTGGGGAACAGATGGAAATGTTGATACTTTATGTACTGCTATTCCTCCCTTCCTTATTTCTTTGATACTCTTATGGAAAAGGGGTGACATGCAGAGGGAGCAAGAGGAGTTTCTTATTGCCATCCTAAGTGAAGTGACTCAGAGATGGCTGGTTTGCTAGAAAGCACAGCACTGCGGTGGGCAGCCTGCACTCTAGGAAAACTCTTTCTCAATAAGTACACGGGAGTCATTAGTATATTCTGTCCTGTTTCAAAGGCTAAAAGAAAATCAACTGTATGAATTGGTTTGCACTATGAAATAGGAAATGGTCTGGGAATTATTGATGGGTAGAAATAAGAGAAAAATTTTATTAAGAGACACATTTAAGAATAAAGAAATGAGATCAGTTCATTGCAGAACTTAAATCAATTCCTTAATGTAAAGTTAATTATTTGAGAAAACTCATCAATTTCTCAGTACGTACTTTATATCAAATAACAAATGTGTATTGACGGGCTATTACATAGGGCACAAAGGAATATGAAAATACATACGCAAAAGTTTGTTTACTGTCATCTTTTTATTAAATACAAAATGAATATATAACTTAAGGAATTATTTTTGAAACACAATTACACATATGTGTAGAAAAAATAAAGGAGATATATATGTCAAAACGTTGCCTTTGGGTATATGGGTTTTTTATTTTTTCCCTAATTGAATTTTCTAAACTGTCTACAATAAATATACATTATTACTATTACAAAGAGAAAAAATTAAAACTCATATTTTACTAAAAAAAAACCCCACTGTGGTAGACAGAATAACATCCCTCTAAAGATGACCATGCCAAAATCCCTGAAATATTTGAATGTTACTTTACACAGCAAAAGGGACTTTGCAGATAAAATTGAATTAAGAGATTGGGAGATTGTCCTGGATTATATGAATAGTCCTAATGTAATCATAAGGGTCTTCATAGGAGAGAGGCTAAAGGGTCAGAGAGAGAGAGACTTGAAGATGCTATACTGTCTCTTTTTGAAGATGAAGGACAACAAACCAAAGAATGCAGGTGGCCTCTGAAACATGGACAAGGAGGCTGGAGACTCCAAAAGGAATGCAGCCTTGTGAACACCTTGATTTTAGTGCAAGAAGACCCACTTTAGACTTCTAACTTGCATTATTGCAAGATGATAAATTTGTACTGTTTTAAGTAAGTCTGTTACCTAATTTGTCATAGCAGCAATAGTAAATGAACACACTTGCCTAACGATACAATGCAATCTTTGCTAAGCACTAAATATGGGACCATGAATGGTAAAGAAGAGAGATGGATACATAAGGTACATTTGGAGGTCAATGGGGAAAGAAATAAATCAGTCTTGTTAGAAGTAGAGATTTATGCACAGAAAGACCGGGAAATATATATGGGACGGTAGGATGAGATCAGATTGTAAATTTAAATTGGTCATTTAAATTAAGCTAAATTTAACTTAAGGGGAAAGAGAATCTAGTTTTTGAAACACAGTTACACTATTGCCACTTTATATATTCAAATGTTAATGTTTACTGCCAATGTAGTTACTGACAATGAATTTTATTATGATTATTTTTTGAGCTTCAATCTCAATCTCTCATCTATAATATGTGGTCACTAAACGAGAGAGAACTAAGGTCCCCCCTACCCCAGGGTACCATTTCCAAAGTCCTTAAATAATAACAGCTCATATAGTGTAACTATCATTCAGAACATTTGATTAAGAAGAATATCACATTCCCTGATGAAAGTGGATAAGAAACTAGTGTAAGATTTTAGTTTCTCATTAAATTTAAAAATCATATTAAAATTGATGACTCACGCACTACAGTTATGACTGTATCTACAAATAATTTTTAGTCTTTACCAATGTTCACACAAATGAGGTATTTACCCTTTTAAACCTCTTAAGTAATAAGAATTTTTACAGTGGTACACAGTTTTTAGAATTATAATTTTAATAGGATAACATCATAAATTAACTTTTAATTTAAATAACCATACCATTGTTTGATGTTTTTATGCTTTTAATTTTAAAAATATAAAATGCTTTAATAAACATTTTTATGCACATAGCTTTTTCCTTCTTTTAATCTGGGTCAGCAAACTTTTTCTATTAAGATCTAGATAGTAAATATTTTAGGCTCTGTGGGCCATATGGTCTTTGTTGAAGCTACTCAACTCTGTTGTCATAGCTTGAAAGCAGCCACAGACAAAAAAATAAATGAATGTGGCTGTGTTCCAATAAAATTTTATTTATGGATATTTATTTACTGATATTTGGATTTCATGTACTTTTCATATGTCAATAAATATATTAAAAAAATTTAACCAGACTGTACAAAAAAAAGTAGTGGGCCTGATTTGACCTGCCAGCTATCATTTGCTGATCTGTTTTAGATTATATTTTAGGATAAATATCTCAAAATGGATTCATTAGGTTAAATGCACATTGTTGTAGATTAATACTTATTTCTAAATTACATTTTGAAAGGATTTAATAATTTCTTTTCCTTATTTGCTTCAAAGAGAAATCTTTTGGCACTTTCCCCCACCTATTAGAGTGAGCAACATGGCAAGTGAAAGAGCCCTGGAATGGACATCAGAACACATGGGTTCCAGCTTTCTCACTGACTGGCCTTCTGCCCTTGGGTAAGTCATGTAATCCCTTTGGTGCTCATCTGTAGAAGGAAGTAACTGCACCAGAAGCTCTCTATAAAGGCTTAAAACACTAAAAATCTGTATTTCCAACACACTCACTGTTTCATTTTCTTTCTTTTACTACCCACATGTAAAAATGTGGGAGGGAAAGGATGTGAAAGAGGAGACACAAACACAGTACAGTTACTTTCCATAAGAAAATCAAAATGTTACAAGTATTAAAGATGCCAAAAACAAAAATAAATATCAAATAACAAAATGAAAAATATTAGAGAATAAAATCATACATTAGGTGTTCATTAAAACCAAATCTATATTTTTAAAAAAAGCACTTCAAATATTTTAACTGCAAACAACCAAAATATCCATCAACAGCGAAATGAAAAACAGTGTAAGGTATATCAAAATCAAATATAATATAGAGATGAGTCTCTAAGCAAAAGGTTTTATTTGGGAATATATATATATATATATATAAACAGAATTGCAATGTATGGCATGTGCATAGACTGGGGTGGTCTTAGGTATGTCTAAAGAGCAAAGGAAAAGGTGCAAGCTTTATTGGGAAAAAGAAATGTTACTGAAAATGTTTTGAAACAAAGTTCACTGAGGCTAGTGAAGTCTTTTGGGAGCTGGCAAACTCTGATTCGTGAGTGATGGACTGTAGTTAAAACTAGTCTTAGAGCCCTGCCAGGTCATTTAGGCAGTTATTAGGTGAAGTGGTTTTAAGATTACAGCAGGTCACTTCAGCAGCTGGGCTTGTGAGAGCGTCCCTGGAGTAGGCCCTTTGTACCTGAGTGTGTCCCACACTCTGTCCCTCAACTCCATGTCGGTTGGGTGTGAGAGGAATAACTCCAATTCATATAATCAATTTTCACAATTCAC